ACTTTTTGTTGTGCCAGATCCCGGCTTCTTTAGAGCAGGGATTTTCAGCTAATGTCGAAGCATGCAATGATTAGGTGATACAGGCAATTATTTATATAGGCATAGGAAAGGGTTAAACAGTTCAGTACAATATAAACTAAGTGAATGTAATCCATACCAGATTGGGTGTTTAGGTTCCTTAAAGCTTGGTAAAGTTTGTTGTAATTCTTTTTTTTGAAAAATCTTAGTTGCCTAATACTCTTTTGAAGTAGGATAAAGGAGTCTTTTCTTCTCTTCCCTATGTTCCGTACCTCTTCTGTTGCACTAATACATGCACCTGATTCTGGATGTAAACCTGGTAATCTTTAGTAATGAGGTCCTGGTACATTCACTGCTGAATTAATGCACTGGTATCTTAACACATAATTTTTCTAAGTCAGGAGTGATGTCCTTTAGCCTATGGTCTGCCTACAGTTCACAAAAACATCGTGGCCCTCCGCCATCTGATTTTTTTGTTTTGTCTTCTTTTTCACCTTCTAACGTGTTAATGTATGACCCTGGGTATTGGAAAGCTTTATTTATCATCACATAGGAGATTGTTTCTAATCCTTGATCTGTGTGGATATAATTTTCTTAAATGCTATAGCATAAGTAGAATTAAATGTGTAGTGTATTTTGGGGAATTAGCTTGTTACACTGGAAAGCAGTCTGGACCCTTGATTAAATAGGTTGCTCTTGTGAGCTGCCTGGTTTCCTCTCTGTATTCTGCATGACATAATGTGATAAGGTTGTTTCACCATCTGCATGTATTCTTTTGGCACATGGCTGTTAGATTTTGATTTGCTGGTTCAGCAAATAGAACTTTACTTGAAGAGTTACTATAAACACATGAATGCCTTTCTCAGTATTGGAATTTAAATTTCGTATTGAATGCTGACATGATCTGAAGTGAGCATCAGTAGGGACCAGAATTACATGTGCTGTTGACAGCTTTGAAACACAACAAATGAAAGTCACATTATCAACTCTTTATATTCTTTAGATTTATTTTCAGAGACTCTCTGTAATAGTTGAATGTAATTCAATAGCTAAACAGTTAGCAAGAACAAACCAGAATAAATCAGTTTCAATTACTTGCTACTTGATCCTTGGAATAAAACAAGATGACAATAAAAGTTCTAAATAATTTAAGAAATATGGTGCTGAAGTAGCAGCCTGTGTCCATCACCTGGAAACTGATGATGATGGATTCCAATTTGGTTATGACAACACTGTGTTCTTCAGGAATTCTAAATCTGAGCAGATTTAGACCTTCATCTACAAGCTCTGGGGTTAGTTTTTAACAAGTTGGTTTCATTCAACTAGATTATATTTAGATGGTCTTTACAGCATACAGTGTACTGTAATTAATGACAACTGTATTAAGCATTAATCTTCCAATACAGCTGTGTGTGAAAGGTTCACAGGTCCAAACTGCTTTCCAATATACTGAATTAACTCCTCGAGGAGGACTGAAAACCCATTGAGGTTCCAAGGTGATACAGGACATTTGTTGGGCAGAGCTGGAGAACGTTTTCAAGAAAACCAAACATAGCAGTTACAGAGCTGCATCATAATTCAAATTGTGCTTTTGATTGATTTTCAGATTAAGGCTAGCATGTGCTTTTTGTTTCTCTTGTTCCAGTCCACACAATCTAAAAGATTTATGGATAAAATCATAAATTGGTCAGCCAGTTCGACCATTTTTTAACACCTTGGGAAGTGTGTATGACAAGAATAGGCAAAAAAAAAATCCAGAGGAGACTTTCCCATCTGACTCTAAACCAAGCTGAAATCTGGAATTTCCAAACTGCAGGAGGTTGAGGTTGGGGTTTTTTGTCTTGAAGATGAAATTTCAAAAGCTCTTGAAGGTAGCTTTCAAAAGTTTGGCAAATGCTGCAGTGTTTCAATACAGTTGCTAGGAGTTTAGTGTTTTTCCTGAGCCAGTTCTCCTCCCAGCACTGTAAGTATTCAGACCGAGGGTGCAGTTTTATATTACAGCTGGACTGATTAACTGTGGGCAATGACCAAAAAGGGAGGTCTTGTTTTCTTCTCCAAAGCTTGTTCCTTCCCCCTCCAGTATGTCAGCAGTATTGCTCGTCTGACCCCACAGTGAACCCATTCAGAGAACTAAGGCTATAGAAAACTAACACTAAAAAAAAAAGAAAATAATAGCTTTCTTACTGATGCAGTGCTCTGATCTAGCTGACCATGGGGTCAGGTGAGTGCCAATGCTGTTGTAAGTGACTGGGATGCATAGCGAGAGGCAGGAGGAGTGGGAGAGCTCATAAATTGATATAGATATACTGTAAATCTAAATTTTGAGCATACAGTTCCCCCTATCAGGTTAAAGATTATTTATGGATTATCTATACTGCTGCTGAAAAGAATGGTCTTGCTGTCCTCTCTGTGTTTGGTGCCCTGTTTTCCTACATCCTCCTTTATGGTGCCACTAGTGTTTTTGTGGTTGGTTGGATCAGGGAGCAGAGCCAGCCGAAAACTAAGCTAACAAAAAAAAGGAATTTCAGCTTCACAAGTGTTATTGTTAGCATAGCAAGGGATGAGGTAGCATGAATTTGTCCATTGTGGCAGCAGCACAAATTTAAATTTCCTAAAGTTTATTTTGATGTTGCATTATAAATATTCATATAGAAAAAGCTTTTTTACTGATCCGTTGACTCTTAGCTGGTGTACTGTTGCAGGTTCAAAGACTTTCTTGAAGGATAAGACCCTGAAATCATATGTGGCAATCCAGCCACCTCATCATCAGTCTCAGTTTTGTCTGTGTGATTCCCCTCTAGTATCTTCTCTGAGGTGGACAGTGAGCCATAGAGCACTGTTTGATTTAGGAAAGACATCAGTGTATGCAGTGTGTTTTGGTTTACTATATAATCATCATCATATCATCTATGTTAACAGAAGTGACATTTTGATGTTTTTTCTCAGTGTTTCAAATTTGTTCTATGTAGTTTCACTTAAGTATATACGTCAATGGAACACAGATTATCTAAGATATTTGGGACTTATGCTCTTTGCACGTGAGCATGACTAATTACATTGAGCTACATCTTTAAGATTAAGTGCATTTGTGTTCTCTGATGAACCTGGCTGCACTGAGGAAATGGCATTCTAGCCTCTCCAGACACATTTCACGTATTCCAATAGGCTCAAGACTTTCTTTTGAAGATTTTCTTTCATTCAGAAATGAGATTCAATGCAATGCATTCTAGCCTAGCTTTTCTCCCTACTGTTGTTTTCTTTTGGGATTACTGTTTGGTCATTGTTCGGTTCAGGCCATACTCAATTGCCCTTGTAATTAGTGTGGAGCTAATAACCATGTACTGACTAATCACGTCTGCTCTAGTCTGGGATTGTTTTGACTCTTTCAGCTCCCACTGACTTTTTGGGGGAGTTCTTGACATTTAGGACCTCTGAAGCTAGCGTATGTCAGTTATGAACAAGCTGCTAATGTGTTAAGTCATAGCCATTAAGCAATAGGATTATTCTGACTAAATATGACTGCCTAAAATTTAAGTGTCTGTATCGAGATGAGTCACCCTAGGACCCCTTTACAGACAGTGAAGTTCTATCATTATGTTCCTGGAGTTAGCATGCAGTGTGTTTCACCCTAAGGTGGATGCCTGTGTTTGGTCAGGTGATTCATGCCATAAGAAAAGTGGGAGTAGATCATGTGTTGAATTTTTACTAGATTTCTAATCTAATTTGCTTAGAGAGTTGGTCTAAGTGTCTGTATAGAACTGAGTGTGTAAAATTTGGGCTTTAAATCCATGTTTATCTGTGGAAATTGAAGTTACCAGGCATAAGAGGAGTTTAAGGAGCTCCATCCCAGGTTGAAATCAAGAGGAACACCATTAAAAAGTAAATGCTTAGATGCATGTGATAAAATTTACATTCATGCACTGATGTTTAAAAATCTGAACTATACAGGGATATTAATATTACCACTATAGCATGCTATGAAATCATCTGCTCATAAGATCAGCATTTTCATTAGTGTTTGAAGACTGGCAGTAATTGTGAGGTTTCTTTCTTCTGCCCTTTTAAACCAGGCTGTGCTCTTTATTTCCTGTGTAGTTCTTTGGAAGCAGGCACAGTCTCCTGTCTTAACTTTGCACATTCTGTTTGACAAGTTCAGTCTCTTGTTTGGCTAGATACTTCATCTTGTAATAAAAGAAAGAACCAGTTTACCTTCCGTAATCCAGATTCTGGTTTATTTCATAGTTGTGTTTAAAACAAGTTTGTTTAAAGCTGCAAAGAACCATTTGTATAGTTCTTGGCTGTCACTAGTCAAGAGGATGAAATTAATAGCCACTTCCTTTTCAGTCCCTAAAGCATTTTCTTTCCAACTACCTTTTAAGGTAGGTACTACTGGGTAGCAAATCCATAGCGCTCTGGTGATGTTTAAAATAAATTGCATCTTACTTGTCCAAGCTTGATTAAGATTTAAGTGTCTTTGGCAGAAATAAAAGATCCATGAAAGCTCCTCCTTAATATATGTATAAGGAATATAAAATGGAAAATCAATGCACAACAATTGTAGGGTTGAGTTTAAGGACTTTAACTTTTTAAGATTCTTCTCAATTCATTCACTTCAGTATCAACATTGCCATTATTAATAGAAGCGTCATTACCAGTATGCCTCTCTAAATTTGAAATAAAGTTTGAAGTACTCTGCATGTGTTGCAACTTATGATAGAAGAGAAGGTTATGGAATATGAAGCAGGAAGTAGATTCATCTGTTTGGCTGTGACACCTCAAAGGTGCTGGTATATACCACAGTTTAAACACTAAGTGCATGCTAAATTTTAAGCACTTGCATTTCTCAGTGCTTAAAACTGCTAAAGAGTAAATATAGGCGTAAGTATTTGCAGGATTTCAGGTGAATGCATACTTTGCTTCCCAACAGATGCTGGTTTTGACATTCTATTAATTAAGACTGGCTTTTTTCACCCTTTTCCTAGGTGTTTACCTCCCATGGACCTACTGTGATCATGCCAACCTGGTTCTGTTCTCGAGAATGGTTTTTTCACGTGGGAAAATTTGATGAGGGTGGAAAGGTGAGTGTTACGGATGATCTGTAGTCCAGGAGCCATCTCTTAGTCTAACAGCCACTGAAAGCTCTAAACCTGTTTTTAAGAAACACTAGGCAAAGGGGTATAGATAAAAACTGAGGTCTAAAAAAATCTGGGTTGTACCATATACCCTTTTTTTAAAAAAAAAAAAAAAACCAAAAAAAACAGTCATTAACCAAGCACAGTTGTTTTGGGGTAACTCTGGTGATTGAAGGACATAACTAAGATGGGGTTTGTAGATAAATCTAACACATTTGTTAGCTATGTCAGCATACCTGGAAAAATTAAAGAAGGGTTCAGACATTCAAGCTCTTCTTCAGTCCCTGAAATAGATGCAGCAGATCTGAAAGCTAAAAAAAAGTCAGCTCATAGTTTAATTAAGAACCACCTCTGAAAGGTAAGGTAGATTTGGTGAAAGAGATCGGAAGGAAGAAAGGTGCAGGATGGCAAAGAGATGGTAATACATTCTCCTAAGGGGAAAGATTTCTATCCCTAAGATGAAGAAAGAAGGGAGGAGGGGAGGTCACAATGTGCCATAAAACCACTATCGTTAAATCTCATTTATCCACTTGTCATATCCACTTGTCAATCTTAGTTCTCAGGCTTGTCCTTGGAAGATGTTAAGTAGCTTCTCCTCAAGGATCAGGACTGAGAGGTTACAAATTAAACAACTGTTATCTGAGAAGTGTTCCTCCACTGACAGGTGTTCTTCTTCTTTATAGATTTCCTGTATCAGTTCAATTTGGTTGCTTTAGGCTCGTCAGCATGTTTATGGAATAAAATCCAGGGATGTCTATTGGTGGTATTTATTGTGGTAGGAGTAGAAATATGTTGGCAAATAGATCTAATTCAGATGCATTTGGATCCATTCTGTGTGTTTTGGACCTGAGGGGTTTTGTTTCAGTGGTTTTGGTGAGATTTTAGGGCTAGAATGGGTGGTGCTGAATTTTTTTTTTTGAAAGCCTTCATTTAATAGTACTCAAAAAAATCTGCTAAGGCTATTTCCTATTTTATTGTTTAAACTATAACATATTATGATTATTATTCTTTTTATAGCCTCTAAACGGAGCCCTCCTGTGCCATGCAGTGTGTATACATACATATAGACATAGACACACATGTATATGTGTGTATGAGGATATACAAATATTATTCTTTGGGCTGCCAACAAAATTATAATTTAAGGAGACGGCGGACAGAGAACAGAATTGTTTAGAGCGGTGAAAAGATTTGCCCTTAATTACATGGCGGGTGAGCGGAAGAGCTGGGAATGGTGCCTGGCTCCCAGTACAGTCTACATTTGCTGACCCGTGCTCTTTATTTCTTTTTTATTATTATTCCTTATCATTGTATTTTCATTCTCTGAAGAATGTTTGACTTAACTTCTTAGGCCTTGTTAGTAAGCTCAAAAAAGAAAGCAAGCAAGCTAAAACATAACAACAACAATAGAACAGCAAGCCTAATGATAAAGTTCAAGAGGTTAAGTTAAACAGACTATTGTTCTGTGCTTTTTGCTTTTAGTTTTGGTTTGTTTTTTTTTCTCTTTGTTCTGTTTTTGAGGGGCTTTTTTGGTTTTGCTTTATATATATAATTGTGTAGGGACTATGCCACTGGTTATTCAGATGTAATACGCTGACAATCTTAATCCTAATGATTTTTCAGCCACAATGCATGATATGTCCTTCTAGTTTTAAAAATTATCAGTGATAAGTTAAACTTTTTGTTTGTCCCTATTGTGAAGTCTCCAACATGTCAAAACTCAAACTCTGGCTGATACAGAGGACCTTCAAAAAAATACCCTCCGAACAAGGGTGATGACAGATCTGAACAAAGCAATGAACATAAGCATTGAAGTCAAACCTTTGTCCGATGTGGGTTTAGAGGACACAAAATCAAGTCCTAAATCTTTTAGCATTTAGCACTGTAAAGTATTTAGCATTGATCTTACTCATTCATTTTCATTTGAAAAGAATTCCTTTGAGGCAAAGAAAGATTTTCTTTGTGTATCAATAGAGCTTTTATAAACTAGTACTGAGTACTCCTAAGGATCTTATCCACGTGTGTATGTTCTGACCTGACCCATGATCTGACTATGTTAATTTGATCACTTCCATCTCCATTTTTGGGTTAGTATTTAACAGTGCGACCTGTAAGTGTCATATTGCTGCAAGTAAACACAGAAACAGGCCAACAAATCTCCGCATTTCAGCCATTTGCTAAACTATTTCCATGCCAAAAAGCTGCATTTCTCATTTGGAATTAAATCCAAACACCTGTTCTTCGTATTTCAGTGCTTAGAACAAATGGAAGATAATTCCTCCATGGAAGAAATTGTGATTTGATGTTTATGTTAATAGTATGGGTGGACTGATAGAATATAAATATATAAGTGATGATGTAATCTTTTTTTTTTTTTACTACAGGTAGGTATGCATGTATCTCTCCATCCATCCGGGCTTTATGTGAAACAGATTTTTAAAAAATATTTAAAAAAATCTTTTTAGAAATAAATATTTCTTTCTGGGCAAGATCTGCAGTTGTTGGAAATGTATTCTTTTTAGGTAATCACTGTGGTAATGTCCAAGCAAAATCCTAAATAGTATCTTCACAAATGGTGGCTAAGAACCTGACAGGTTTGCTTTATGCACTGATAACTAAAATGGTAGAGGTGTTATTTGTGCAACCTCTGATATATGATAATTAAAGCAGAAGTACTTAGAAGTAGTTGATTTTAGCAAGCTCTAATGGTGTGCTGAGACTAAGATAATACAATAGAAATGGTCACAAGCCTATAAAGTAACATTTTAAATAGTATCCACTGCTAGGAGGAGAGTCACGTGAACCATATTTCTGACTTAATTTTTTAGGAAACTAAAGGAAAATAATCTTCCTGTTATCCAACCGATTCGGATAAAGAGTGCAGTACTTCCTTATGGAAAGAAGTGGCAGGACTTCAGTAAACCCTTCAGAACTCACACTTGAAAATTAGTGTGTGATGTTATCCGCATGATTGGTTTTGGTCCTATGCTTTTTGGTGTCGTCTAACAGCTAGCATCATTGTTTAAAAGTCATAACTGTGTCCAAAAGCATCACAAAAGTTATGCTGAGGAAAAAACATACAGGGTCTTGTATAATATGAAAAGCAGATTTCGAAGCTGTGTCATGTTAAAGTAGGGAACTCAGTCATGCTCAGTTGGTAGACATGGTGTCTGTTATTAGCGAAGCAAAATTATTGCCTCATATGTTTGACAGTGCGCTTCAGTTTGCATACAAAACTAACATTTTGCAATTCTAGCCAACTGACCTTGTGTAATTCTACCAAAATGTATTAGAATCAATCATAGAATCATTAAGGTTGGAAAAGACCTCTAAGATCATCGAGTCCAACCATCGACCCAACAACCATGCCCA